ATTTTGTGGCTCTGTGGAGTTATTTGACTTGGATTCAAATTCCACCTCTAAAATTTACTTCCTAACTGACCTTAGGTAAGCGACTTGACCAGGTGGGGAGGGGGATTCAATTTCTTCATCTGCAAAATGAGGGTTGGGCTAGATGGCTTCTTAGGTCATTTCCTGCTCTAGATCTAGGCAGCCACCACTGCATTCCTTGAAGAGGTGGTGGACTATGGGTGAGGAATATTGCATACCATCAGATACAATTGAAATGTTGGTTCATTTTACTGAACTGCTTTTTCCCTCCCTCTTCCTTTTTTAATCTTTGTAATAAGGGATGACTAAAGGGGGGAAGGAAGAGAGAAGGATACATTGGGAAGTGAAGGTAATGTAAAAATAAAAGGTATAAATAAAGTGTGTGTTTGTGTGTGTGTAGATGGTCTCTGAGAGTGTCTGTGGCAGAAACTTATCACCCTGCAGCCAGCTGGGGAGTGAGCCTTGAACTGGTTGGTCTTTGGACATCAGGCATTGTCCCTTTATTTGAAGCCTTTCCAGCCTGGTAGGACCTATCAGAGACAGTAACTCAGCGTAGCCTTGGAGAACAGACAAGATCACATCTATGTCATGCTGAAGCATAGGATGAAAGCACTTAGGCTACATCATCAGGGGAGCTCTGCTAATGTGCTGGATTGAGGCATTTCCCATGGACCTCTGCCCTGACTCCTTTCAATAGGTTCCCAAAGTGGCCCCCGCCAGGAGACTCGCTGGAAGGGGCCAAGGGCATAGGATCAGCCCAGTGGGAAGTATCTCAGTACATTCGATCAGGGTCTTCTCTGATGACACCTAGAGTTACTATTATTATTCCAAGTAGAAATAACTCCTGTGGACCTCAGTTTCCTTCTCTGTAAAATAACGAAGTGGACTCAAAAGTTCTCTGAGGTCATCTCCACCTTTTAGATTCTACCAATCAGTCAGCAACTATTTATTAAGCATTTAACTAACTATATGCTAAGTGCTGGGCAGACTAATACAAGGAGAAAGAAAGCTAGTCTTTGCCCTCCAGGAACTTACATTCTAATGGGGGGAAAAAACCACATTTGAAAGGAAGCTGAAAAGGTGCAGAAGCTACTGGACTTGGGGACATGGTGAAGAAAGTCCAGAGCACAGCCTGGAGAGGAGTGAGACCTTGCTGGCTTGGGGACTGTCCTCAGATGAAGGTCATGAGAAGAGTCACCCAAACAGAGTACTTGCCGTGTGAATTCCAGGGCTGGAGGGAGGCTTCAGGCTGTAACATTCTAAATTCCTATTTCTGCCTATTTCTCAGAAGCTTCCTTTAGAGCCTACCAGAGTTGGCTTGTGGACCACTCTTGCCCACCCACTAGAGGAAGCACTGCCCCCATCCCGCTGGACTTATTGTTTGAAGAGAGAAAGTGTTTGCCAATGCATACTAACAGGCGGCTCCAGGAAAATCTGGTTTCTCTCAAGTTGCAATCACTCTAGCAGTAACCCTGCTGTGCACCATTGGGAAGGCTGACCTAAGCGATGCCAAGGGGAGATCATTCTGTGAACAGAGGCTGTGTTTGCATGAGTTTCCCATGTTTTGATAAATGTACACGCAGCAAAAATTAAAAAGAAGCCACTGCCAAGAAATGATATGCTCCTGCCTGGGATGTCTGTCATTCGTGAAATCACTGGGGTGGGCTGGCAAGGATGCTTCACTCTTTTACTGAAAGCCAGAGGAAGCTGTAGTGGGCAGCCTTCTCATCCTACCCAAGAGTGCCTCTGTTTTCTTGAAGGGTGGGGGGAGGTGCCTGGAGGATGGAAGGGCACAGAGACATGATCACAGCAGTATCCTCCTCTCTCTCACTGGTGCCCTTTTCTTTCCAGAGCCACGATCAGATATGTAAAGCTTCAAGCTTCTCCATTTTATCTGCAGACTGGCACAGGTCCTCATTACAACCTGTCAGGGCAATTTCGACAGCCTCTCCCCTCTTCCGCCTCCAATCCATCCTTCTCAGGCTGCCAGATTCATCTTCCTTATAACATAGATTCTGGTGCTGCACCCCTCCCTCACCCCCTGCTCACATTCCTTCAATGGCTCCCTACAGCTAACCAAATAGAGTTCAAGCTACTTTGCTTGACATTCAAGACCCCCCCCAAAAAAACAGGCACCACAAGTCCATTCTGCCTTATCCCATAAATCATTTCTTCTCTGGTCCTCAGTTTTCTCATCTGTAAAATGAGGAGACTGAACTAAATGGTCTAGCTCCAATTCTTGATTCTATGACTAATTTCAAATCCCTCATAGCCTTGGCTGAGACAAGGTGAGCATTCCCTCTCTGGACCTTCACTGCCATACAGCTAGGCTCTGGTGTCTTATTCAAGGGATCCATGCTATTCCAAAGCCCAAGAAACTGCTGTTCAGTCAGTCAACCAGTATTTATTAACTTATGTCTCACAGTGTACCAGACACTGTGCTGAGTGGTAGGGATACAAAGAAAGGCAAAACTCAGTCCCTGCCCTCAAGGAGCTCACAGTCTAATGGGGCAGGGGGGAAGACAACATACAAGCAACTATGTATAAACAATGTATATATATATAATGTATATATATATGTATATATATATATATATATATATATATACACACACGAAATAATCAACTGGTTGTTGTCAGTAGCAACAAAGTGAATACATATTTATAGCACCTACTGTTTGCAGAGCTGTGCTAGATCTGTGTGGGGGGGAGATAAAAAGACGAAAAATCACATAATCCCTGCCCTTAAGGTGCTACAATCTGTTGTAGAATGAGAAATATACATAAATAGCTGTTAACATGTCAGGAGATGATTCCAGAGTAGCCAGAGTTGTGAGAGATTCAAGGCAGAAGAAATCACTTCTAGCTGGGGATTACAGAGGACATCATGGAGACAGACAATAGCACATGAGCTGGGACTTGAGAGATTTTCAATATGTGTAAACGGGAGGGCAGAAATTTATTCTAGGAATGGGGGAGAGCCTTCACAAATATATAGAGGCAGGAGAGAGAAGGATAGGAACAGGGCACAGATAGATAGTACTCTAGTTTGGCTGGAACCTTGAATGCATAAAATGGGCAGAGCAGACATTATACGGGAAAGCTAGGTATGTGGGAGCTGGGTTGTGGGGACCTTAAATGCCTATAGGCAGTGGGGGGGTGGTGTTGCTACAAGGCAACTATGCCAACGATTTATTGGACAGGGGAAAGGCTACAGAAAAGGGAGAGATGTTAGAAGTCTACTGGACAGTAGCTGAGAGGCTAAGGAGAGAATGAAGGAAGAGAAGAGGGAAAACGCAAGAGAGATTTCCTCAGTCTTCATCTTACTTGACTCCTGCAGCTTTGGTATTGATTACCCATCCCCCTTCCCTCTAAATTCCTCCTTTGGCTTCCTCTGTTCTCTCCTAGTTCTCCTCCTACCCTTCTGACTGTTTCTTCTCATTCTCCTTTACTCAGTCATCAATGATTTTTTTTTTGCTTAAGTGGGTGTCCCCCAATTTTCTGCCTTGAGTCCTCTCTAAATCAAGAGTTCTTAACCATTTTAGTGTCATGGAACCCTTTGGCAGCCTAGTGAAGCCTATGGATCTCTTACAGATGAATGGTTTTAGAAAAAAAAATAACTGAAGTAAATGAAAATGCAAGTTAGAAGTTAGTGAAGATAAAGATGCATTTTTTCCCCATTCAAGTTCACAGATCCCATGAAATCTCTCCCTGCTCCCCCAGATTAGGAATCCTTACTCCATATTGTCCCACCTGGTGATTCCAAGAGTTCAGTGAATATCAGACCACTCAGGCGACTCCCAGGAGTCATTAGAGGCGGCAGGTAGTTCAGTGAATAGAGAAAGGGCTTGGCGTCAGGAAGACCTGAGTTGGAATCCTACCTCAGACACACTAGCTGTATGAACCTAGACAAGTCACTTAACCCTCTTTCTGACTCAGTTTCCTCAATCTCACAGGGGTTGTTATGGAAGATGGTTCGTGCTGTCTAAGTGCTAGCTTTTACTGCACCTAGCCCTGCAGCCTCCTGTCTCTGCTGACCGTCAGATCCATGTCTCCACCACGTTTGAGTTTTCTATCACTATTCCATCTTGAACTCAACATATAACAAAATTCATTCTCTTCCCCCCCAAACCTTCACGTCCTCCCCGCCGTCTCTTGGGGTTGTAGTGATGATTCTTGGCACTCTAAGGGCTAGACTAGATAATCTCTGAAGTCCCTTTCGATTTGGAGATTCTGTGGGAAGAACGTTCTAGGAAAGACAAATCTTATCCCTTTTAGAAGCTGTTCGAAGGACCAAAGCGCCCTGGAGTCCAGGAGCGCTCCTCCGGTTGCGTCCAGCAGAAGGCGCCCTCGTACAGGCCGGGGCGGGGAACGGGACCTGAATTCTGGAGTTGGCTAGGGTTCCCAGTCGCGGGTCTGGGGCAGACGCGCGTTCCGGCCCCCGGGGAGAGGGCGGGCGCTGCAAGAGGTCAATGCCCAGCGTTCCAGCAGCCGCTGCGGGGCGGAGAGAGACCTGGCCTCTAGACTCGAGGGTGGCCCCCGGGCTGGGGGCGGAAGGGGGGCACTCTTGGCTTAGCCCCGGAGCCCGGGGAGGGAACAAAAGAGAGAAGAGGGAGGCAAGGAGGGAAGGAGGGAAGGAGGGGGGCGGGGGGCCGAGGCTTTAGCCTTCTTTAGGAGAGCCCTCTCGGCTGTATGTAAATGAAGCCGGGCCCAGTAGCGGGCGGGGAGGGGGCGGGGCGCAGGAGAGGGGGCTCGGTCGCTGCCGCCCAGTGCCGGGTGCTTGTGTTGCTCCGTGGCTTCTCTCTTTTTCTCTTTTTTTTTTTTTCTTTTGCAATCCACAAAAGGGGGCCGGCCCTGCAGCTTTTGTTTGAGAGAGAGGAGGCTAGAAGCAGCTGGCTCTCGGGAGTTGGGGGCCTGAACGTCGGGGGTCTGGGGGTGAGCGGCAGGGGTACAGCGGGGTTGGGGGGTGGGAGGGAGGGGGTCATGTCGGAAGAGTGAGGTTGGGAAAGTTTGAGGGGAGAAAAAGAGGCCGCCGAGAAGGAAGAAGTCCTGCAAGCGCCCTCCCGGGACCGAGTGAGGTGGGGGGAGCCGTGCCTTGCTGCGCTCGGGCCCCGCGTCTCCACCCGCGCGCCCTGGCCATGGCCGACCCCCGGAGCCCCCAGTCCGTGGCTCTCCCGCGGCCGCTGCGCCTCCTGTTCCTCCAGTGTGCGCTGGCGCTGGGCTTCCCCGGGGACCCCGGGCCCCGACCAGGTGGGTAACTTCCTCGCCCACCCATTCATGTGTCCTCTTGTCTCTCCTTGCCCTGGTGGTCTCACCTCGGTCTGCCGATACCAGTCCCTCCGCCCAGAGCAGCCCCTGGCCTGTTCATTGGCGTTGGGGTGCACTGGAAAGAATCCAGGATTTAGACTAGTTTCGAAACCCGCCTCTGCCACTTTCGAGCGGTGTGACCTTGGGCAAGTCACTTCACCTCCAGGAATGCCAGTTTCTAAGGTTGGAAAGCGATGGGGTGAGTGAGAATGGATTTCCAAGGTCTGTTCCTTCCAGCTCCAAGTCATATGACCCTTTCGGTGATCTTCAGGCAGCCCCCTTTGCAGAAAGCTTGGGAGGAAAGCGGAGGGGGAAGTGGAAACCGTTGAGGACGATCCCGGGACACCCGGTGCCCTTGTCCCCGGGGCGACGTGGGGGACCTACTAAACGTTGGCCAGCTGTCGGGGGTCCTTGGGGCATGGCGGTCCGAGTGTGTGTGTGTGTGTGTGTGTGTGTGTGTGTGTGTGTGTGTGTCTGCCTGCCTTTCCCTGGGGTCCTTGTGGTTGACGCGGGGTCACAGCCTTGGGACCCCCGGGGCTTTGTGGCCGCAGGGCGCTGCTCCCTCCTGAAGCCTAGCCCTGCACAGGTCAGCTCGGGGCTGCTGGGATCCCTCTGTCCGCTGGCCGGCCTTTCTCCCCTCCTCAGGCTCTGGTCTGCGAGGGAGCTTGGCTCCTTGGAGGCTTTAGGCGGAGCTCAGCCGGGAGGGCAGGAGCTAGTCTCCCGCTTCGGGAAGAGCGCCTTTCTCAGCCCTCTCATTTAGGACACCCTTTTACAGCACAGAGAGGTTCAGCTCTCACAACTGTGGCGTGAGGAGCTGGGACTCGAACCCCTTGAGCACCTTCCACTTGGCCATACTGTGACTCCTATGGGAGTCAGAATAGCAGCACAACCCCTCGCCCCCACCTAATTAATCAGCTGTCCGACCTTGGGTAAATGGCTCACCCTCTCTGGGCCTCAGTTTTCTCCTGTAAGGTCTGGGGACTAGCTCTAACTCTCTGGCAAGCTCCTCTGAGGAAGGACTGAGGGGGGGGGTGCTCTGGGACCTGAGAATCACGCAGTCGTAAGGGACCTCGGGTGGAATCATGAAGTCTGCTAGTCCAACCCCTTGGTTTTTCAGATGAGCAGGTTGAGGCTCAGAGAGTTTAGGTTACTAGCGCCCAGGGTCATACAAACTAGTAAATACATTTCGAAACTAGGATTTGGATCCAGTCTGCATGAGGAGGTCCCTGAGCCCAACGGGCCCTCAGCTGAAGTGGAAACCTCAGCAGCATTCTGACCTCCCCCAGGAGTGGAAGAAATGGTCCCTGCCTTAGCAATCAGTAGATCTAGCAACTGTGAGTCCTTGAGAAAGTCATCTCCCCTTTTGAGCTTCTCTTTCCTCATCTGTAAAATGAGAGGCTCTTTAGAGGAATTTCTTAACTTAGTGTGAATTTAAGGTGTGGAAAGGCTGGGCCTGAGGGGAAGAAAGGAGGAGGGGAAAGACTGCAGAGCCAAAGAGGAGAGAGGGGGAGAAAGGGAGGGAAGCAGGGAAGGGAAGAGAGGAGGGAGAAAGGGGCTGAGGAAGAGAGAAGGAAGCGGGGAGGGGAGGGAATGAAAGGGCAGTGGAGCCAAGACTGGAAAAGAGGGCTGAGGAGGGGAGCTGAGGAAAGGGAGTAGATAGGGAGAGTGGAGGAAGTTATTGAAGGGGAAAGGGGGAATGAGGGAGGAGAGTGGAACAGAGAATGGAGGAAGGGAGAGGAGAGGAGGGGAGGTCATATGAGTGAGGAAATAGTTGTGGAGATCTTTGCTGCACCTTTCTGTGATTTTATAGGCTCCTCCCTACACTTTACCCCTTTTGTTAGGGCCCTAAAGATCAAGTCTGGAGCACAGACCTGGGGACTATTTACTTTTTTTGGAATTTCTCCTTTGAATGGAATCTGATGCACAGACTGGGGGGCAGGGCCCAGGACTGTGTATTAGAGGCTCTGTTCTGCTAGAGTGTGTGGGGGAGGGGGGAAAGGGGGAATGGGATTGGGGGGGGACACCCAACTATACTATCTGGCTCCTCTGACTCAGCCTCTTCAGCTGTCTGCTCTGGCTTTAGGGCTGAGCTCTTTTTGTCATTGCTGTTTCTGGGGCTGCTTCAGGATAATCCTGCCCTGTAGGTAACAAGATGGCTTAGGTCTAATAGTGGGAACTGGAAGTATTGTGCTGCCAGGAAAGGGAAAAGATGAAATAAATGTGTATATGTATGTGTGTGTGTGCACAGATAGGAACAGGTGATAGAGGCTGGACCTGGAGGTTCACTTGCATAGGGAACTCCCAGATAGGAAAATTCCCTCCACCAGTGCAGATCTGCCCCTTCTCCAACTTGAGTCTTAGTGAGTTGCTTAGTATGGAGAGGTTAAGTGACATGCTTAGAGTCACATAGCCAGGTTGTAGTTCCATAGTCTCACACACGAACTTGTACATATACATGCACATTCACACACACACACACACACACACACACACCCTCAGAGGCAGATCTTGAGACCATATTGCCCTGACTCCAAGGTCAGCTCAGCACTCTCCTTCCCTGCCAGGGTGCTTCAAGTCTGGCTAAGGATTAAGAGATCCATGGGTGGAGAGTCTTTGTGGAGCCCCAGCCTGCCATTCTCTTTCCTGAAACCTGTGAGGCTCCTCCAGTTTGCTCTCTGTCCCCTCTTCCTTCCCCTCCTGCCTGGGCCCCTTGGCTCTTCCTGACATTCTCTGCTTTCCCCAATGCAGCAGCCGACCCCACTGGGGCACAGCCTTTGTTTCCCAAGAATAGATCTAGATTCTCAGAAGGCCTCCCACTTCTCATCTCCCCTCCCTTTACCTGCCACTGAATGTGAACTAAGCAGTCTCGTTTCTGAGGTTCTAGAAAGTTTACAGAGTGACTCCTCCCTCCCCCCCCAATGGGATGAGGTCACTTGCTGCAATTAGCAGGCTCACCTCTTGGTCCTCAAGTCCTCCTCTCTAAAATGGGGAAATGAAAGGGCCAAAGATCAATGAAGTCTTGGAAGAGAGAGGGAGGGAGGAAGGGAGGGAGAGAGAGAGGGAGGGAGAGAAAGAGAGAGAGAGAGATGCATCTGATGCTGCTGAAAAAGCAGTGGCTTGGGAGTCAGAGGTCCTGGGTTCAAATCCTACTTCAAATCCTTGGCCAGGTCACTTACCCTCTCTACACCATAGTTTACTTCTCTGTCAGATGAGGGAATTGGAGCAGAGGCTTCGGAGGCCCTGTTAGGTTTATGTCATCGATGTTATGTTCTTTAATCTGCCCTGTGATTCTTTCCACCTTCTTGCTCCTTTGCACACCTTAGTCTAGAGAGCATCTGGGACTGAACCCAGATGCCTTCAGGAATAGGAAAATACACACACACACACACACACACACACACACACACACACACACAACACACACCCTTATAGCAAAGCAAAGACTGGGGCCGGATCCTTTGATAAATCTCAATCAGTTGCAGTAACTGGTCGAACAGCTACTTGGTTCCAACTCTGTGCCAGCTGTTGTGGGGAAGCAGTCACTGCATTTAGAGCCCATGATTTAGAGAAAAGTAGACATCTATGAAAAAATAGTTGACACAGAACGCCAACAGTCGATGTCAGAGGGCATCAGAGGTGTTTGGGTGGGGTTCAGAGGAGGGTTGAGGTCAGGGAAGGCACTTTGGAGGAGGTAAGGCTTGGGTTGTGTTAGTCTGAGTTGGAAGTTTGTGTTGCACGTGAGCTGACCATCTTGTTCAAGCTGTATCTGAATGGGAATTTCCCCACCCCCACCCCCAGAACATCCTCGAACAATAGTTACTCTTCCTTGAGATCAGTATCTCCCCAGGCTGCCCTTTCCGTCTTAGACTGAACTGAAATTTGTCTCTGCAGTTCCACCCATTGCTCCTGTCTCAGTCATCTGGGGCCAGTAGAACAAATCAAGCCCTTCTTCTATGTGACATCCTTCTGAGTGATTGAAGAAGAGGGCTATCACACTCTGAGACTTCTCTTCCCTAGGCTCAGCCTCCTCAGTTCCTTCACCTGACACTCACATGATAAGTTTGTGGTCCACTCTAGTTGCTTTCCACCTTTCCTAAAATGTGATGCTCCAGCTCCATAGAATATCCTAAATGTGGTTTGATTAGGTCATGGAGCAGCTGGGACTGTCACTTCCCTAGTCCTGGATACTTCATCTCTATCAGTCATCAAGAGTTTATTATGTGCCTTCTATGGGCCAAACATAAGTCTTAGATTATATCAGCTTCTTAACTGTTAGGTCATTCTTACAACTCATTTTGACCTTTCAATCCATGAAGAATTCTAGGTCTTTTCCATATGGACTATGGGCTACCTAGACATTTCTTCACCATCCTATTCCCTATGAAATTGATTTTTTGGACATGAATGTGTAAGACTATGTTTTTCCCTATCAGATTCTACTTTATTAGTTTGAGCAATTGTTCTGGTCTGATTTTCTTTTTGTATCCCAATCCTTGTATTTAGATGTATCCCAATCCCTTATATTTGAGCAGCTAGGTAGCATTGGTTCTGGAATCAGGAAGACATGAGTTCAAATTCAGCCTCAGGCACTCACTGATTGTGTGACCCTAGGCAAGTCATTTAACCTCAGTCTGCCTCAGTTTCCTCATTTATAAAAAGGGGATAATAACAGCACCTACCTACCAGGGTTGTTGTGAAAATCAAAAGTGCCTATGAATAGCACAGTGCTGGCATATAGGTGTTATATAAATGTTAGTTATAATGGTGATTATTGTGTGTTAGCGCTCTTTCCCATCCTGCAACTGTGTCATTATCCAAGTCATTCATTAAAAAGAATATGAGTCAGGACAGAGCCCTAAGGCAATTCACTAGAAACCTTTTTCCAGCTAGATAACATCTTTTCAGTTGTTAGCTTAGCTAGCTCTGAATCCATCTAACTGTGCTATTGTCTAGTACATATCTCCCCATCTTGTTCCCAAGGATATCTTTGGAGACTTTGCCAAGTGTCTTGCTTAAATTCAGGTATACTCCTTTTAGGTAGCATTTTCTCTTTCTACCAGTTGAGTAATCCTGGCAAGAGACACAATGAGGACTTCTAGCCTGGGTTGACTTAAGGTAACCACAAAGAAGAAAGGAAGACATTTGGGAGGAGAGGAAGTGGGAGAAAATAAGGGAGGTGTAAGTAAAGGTATGGAGGAAACTTAATGCACAAGATGCATGCTGTGGCTAGAGCAAAGAGGAGTTGAATCATAGGATCTTGGCTGGAAGGGCCCTAAGAGGTTGTCTGGTCCATCTCTAACCTAACTAGGAGTCCCTTTTTTGCTGTCCTGGACAAGTAGTTACTTAGTATCTGCTACACCCTACTGATGGGGACCTTCCTACTTCTCGAGGCTGTCTGTTCTGCTTTTGGACAGCTCCCATTATTACTGTTATGCCTTATACGGAGCAGATATATGCTTTTAAAATAGAACTTTCGCCATAGTTGCACTAATGATAGATAGATCCAAGATTGAATGCAGTCAGTGGAATATCCATCCATCCATCCATCCATCCATCCATCCATCCATCCATCCATCCATCAATCCATTCATTCATTCATTCATTCATTCATTCATTCATTCATTCTGCAGTGAAAAGAGCACTGGATTGAAGCCAGAGGACCTTAGTTTCAGTCCTGGCATTCCACCTACTGTCTGTATGACAGTATGGGCAAGTCATCTTGGGCTTCACTTTCCCTACCTCTCATGGCAGGGGAAAGAAGGGGATTAATAACAGTAACAGCTGATGTTTCTATGGTACTTACTTTGTGCCAGGCACTATGCTAAGTACTTTATATTTATTATCTCATTTGATCCTCACAACCCCAAAGGTAGGTGCTATTATTATCTTTACTTTGTGGATGAGGAGGCTGGGGCAAACAGAAATGAAGTACTTGCCTAGGGTCCCATAGCTAGTACATATCTGAGGCAGGATTTGAACTCCAGTTTTCTTGGCTTCAGGCCCAGCTCTCTTAACAACTGGGACCACTAGCTGCCAGCTAGGGGATATCTGAGATCTCTTCCAACTCTCAAAATCTTACTGTCTTTAACCTTCTAATATTTTTGATTTAGACCTGGCAGAGATCTTAGAGATCATCTGATCCAAACCCCTCATTTTACAGATCAGAAAACGGGGGGAATGACTTACCCAATGTCATACAAACAGGAAGTGACAGACTACAGAGTGCACACTTTTTTTTTAAACTCTGAACTCAAAACACATAACAAAAAAATGACCATTTCCATATACAAAATGGAAGAGAAAAAAGGATTTCATATGAAATGATTAGTCTCTATTACATACAGCCCGTTTTTTACTTTTAAGTGTCTGATAAATTCAACACATCACTTTCGAAGTTGTCCTGCTTATTTAATACTTCTTTCTGGCCTTCTTTTCTCTTTGCTTTAAAAAAGAAATCCTTCAGGTCTTTGGTTTCCTAGAGGGCCACTGACCATAATGTATTGATTATTTGCTAGCCGTAATCAATAAATTCCTTATTAATTACCCAGAAAAAATTCTTCAATGACCTTCTTTTCTTTCTTTTTGCAACTTTGTCACCATCCCTTTTCTCTCTCCCATCTTCTTCCCCTTTGTTCCCCCACCATTGTGGAGGGGAAAAGGAAGAAAAACAGAAGCCTTATAACAAATATGTGTAATTAGGAAAAACATATTCCATGTTGGCTGTGTCCAAAAATACGTCTCATTCTGCACCTCAAATCCATCACCGCTCTACCAGGAGGTAGATAGCAGACGCCCACAGAATTAATCACATGTTCTTTGTGAAAAACATTTTTGGGATTGGAAGAGGATCATGTGGTAGCCAGGGGATATAGACATTCAAAGATAGATTTAGACTGTTAGAATGCAGAGGGACAGATATCATCTGGTTCAATCTCTTTGTTATATTTTCCTATTTCTAAAATTAATGTTTTATTGATTGGTGCATTTTGTTTCTATAAAATAGTGATTTCCAGATATACACACACCCACACACCTGCACACATGCACATCATTCTTTAAGTGAGCCTCCTCTTTTACTTTTCTTTTTGGTGAGGTGATTGGGGTTAAGTGACTTGTATAGGGTCACACAACTGGTAAGTATCAAGTGTCTGAGGCTGGATTTGAACTCAGGTCCTTCTAACTCCAAGGCCAGAGCTCTATCCACTAAGCCACCTAGCTGCCCCTGAGCCTTCTCTTATAACAAAAAACAAAAACAAAAACAAAAAAACAGTTAAGCAAAGCCAATAGACACAGTGACCAAGTCTGACAGCCTATGCACCCAAAGCCCCCTACTTTTCAAGGAAGGAAAGCAAGTTCATTTCTCATCCCTTCTGTGAGACCAAGATTGGTCATTCCAATTTACGTAGTATTCAACTTTGTTTTAGGGTTCTTTTCTCAATCTTGTTTTAAAGAGGAGGAAACTGGGAGAGCAAGGAATAGTTTACCTGTCAGATTTATGGAGAACAGAAGAATTTATGACCAAACAAGAGATAGAGATATTATGAAATGCAAAATGGATAATTTTGATTGCATTAAATTGAAAAGGTTTTGCACAAACAAAGCCAATGAAGCCAAGATTAGGAGGGAAGCAGAAAACTGGGAAAGAATTTTTACAACCATTGTCTCTGGTAAAGGCTTCATTTCTAAAATATGTAGAGAAGTGATTCAAATTTATAAGAATACAAGTCATTCCCCAATTGATAAATGGTCAAAGGAGATGAACAGGCAGTTTTCAGATGAAGAAATTAAAGCTATCTATAGGCATATGAAAAAATGCTCTAAATCACTATTCATTAGAGAAATGCAAATCAAAACAACTCTGAGGTACCATATCTAACCTATCAAATTGGCTGACATGACAAAACAGGAAAATGATAAATGCTGGAGAAGATGTGGGAAAATTGGAACACTAGTGTATTGTTGGTGGAGTTGTGAACTCATCCAGCCATTCTGGAGAGGAATTTAGAACTATGCCCAAAGTGCTATAAAAATGTGCATACTCTTTGATCCAGCAATACCACTTCTAGGGCTGTATCCCCAAAAGGTCATACAAATGGGAAAAGGACCCACATGCACACAAATATTTATAGCAACTCTTTTTGTAGTAGCAAAGAATTGGAAATTGAGGGGATGCCCATCAGTTGGGGAATGGCTGAACAAGTTGTGGTATATGAATATAATGGAATACTATTGTGCTATAAGAAATGATGAACAGGTTGACTTCAGAAAAACCTGGAAAGACTTGCATGGACTGATACTGAGTGAAGTGAGAAGAACCAGGAGAACATTATGCACAGTAACTGCTACAATGTGGGATGACTTTGACAGACTCATCTCTTCTTAGCAATGCAAGGATCCAAGACAACTCCAAAGGACTCATGATGGAAATTGCTATCCACATCCAGATAAAGAACTATGGAGTGTGAATGAAGATCAAAGCATATGATTTGCTCAATTTTTAAAATTTTTTTGTTAGTTTCTTCTTTCTTGTGGTTTCTCCCATTGGTTCTAATTCTTCTTTACAACATGACTAATGTGAAAATAGGTTCAATATGAATGTATATGTAGAATCTATATCAAATTGCATGCCGTCTTGAGGTAGGGGAGGGGAGAGATGGGCAGAAAATTTGGAACTCAAAATCTTATGGAAGTGAATGTAGAAAACTAAAAATAAATAAATAAATAAATAAAATTTAAAAATAAAGAGGAGGAAACTGAGGTTTATGGGGGTACGGAGACTGCTCCAAGGTCACTTGAATGAGTTGGTGACAATGATAGGTTTTCTTCTTTTTCTGTATGTTTTGGCTGGCTGCTTTGGCTGCACACTGACTATTTGGTAATTTCCTTTGTCAGAGACGCTCCCTTGGGGCCAGCCCTCCCTGGACATCGTGCACCCCATCCGGGTGGATGCTGGCGGCTCCTTTCTCTCCTACGACTTATCTCCTCGGCTGCTTCGGAGAAGGGACCTACTTTCCAGGGCCGGCTCTCCCACTTTTTATGAGCTATTATACCAGGGGCGGGAGCTGAGATTTAACCTGAGCATTAACTCCCAGCTCCTGGCCCCGGGCTTCGTGAGCGAGACGCGCTATGGAGGCATCCCCCATGCCAAGATCCGTCCCTACACACATTCCTATGCTTGTCACCTGATTGGAGAGGTTCAAGACTCTCGACTGAAAGGCGGCTTGGCTGCTATCAGCTCCTGCAACGGCTTGGTAAGTGTTCTGGTGCTATTTGGGTGAGACCCTCTGTGTGTTTGTGTGTGGGTGAGTGTGCAGGTGCTTACCCAAATGAGTGTTAGGTGGTGCCCATAGAGGGGAAACCCAGTGGTGGTGTCATAGCCTAGGCTCTGCCACTCACTGTCACAATCTCAAATAGGTGTTCACTTAGTAAAATGGAGACAGAGGGAGTATGGTGTAGGGATGCAGTATTTGGGACACCTAGGTTCAGATCCCACGTGTGACCCCGGGCTAATCACCCAGTAGATTATGAGCTGCTTGAGGGCAGGGACTATCTTTTGCCTTTCTTTGTGTCTTCAGCACTTAGCACAGTGTCTGACACACAGTAGGTGCTTAATAAATGCTTCTTGTCTGACTGACTGACTAATTAAGCTCTTTGTATCTCAAGCCTCTTCTATTGCCTCATCTAAGTCACAGTTGGGTTGAAATCTGTCAAAGTGAAGTGATTTCCCACCCTGGGATATCAACACAAGCCTTCCCTCATTCACCTAAAATGGAAATTAAAAAAAAATCTAAGGAGCTCAATGAATATAGCACTGGACATGGTATCAGGAAGAATCAAGCTCAAATCTAGCCTTAGACACTGACTAGTTGTGTGATCCTAGACAAGCCACTTAACCACTGTCTGCCTCAGTTTCCTGATCTGTAAAATGGGATAATAGTAGCACCTACCTCCTAGGGTTGTGGGATAAAATGAGATATTTGCAAAACACTTTGCAAACTTTAAAGCACTACATAAATGCTAGTTGTTATTATTATTATTACCATTATAATTATTAAAGGATTTGAAGTCAGGAGAACTAGATTCCACTCTCTGCTCTATTGTTTACCTGCTGTGTGACCTTTCTGTCATCCTTTAAGTCTTCTTGTCTATAAATGGGAATGATAATACCTGGATCAGCTGCCCCACAGGGAGGATTGAATGGAATCATGCATGGAAAGTGTTTTGTAAACTCTGAAGGGCTCCAGAAATAGGAGCTATTAGGATTATTCTGAGGGCCTGTTTGAGATGAGCCACAGTAAAGGCACTTTGAAGTGAACACTGTGCGATTCAAAGGCAGGTCATTATTGCTAGAGACACATGAAAGGATTAACTGAACTTAAAAAAGAAAAAGGAAAAGAAAAAAATCTATAAGCTGAAGAAAGATTTAATTCACCAAATATTTATTGCAAGCCCCTATCATAGGTGCAGGGATATGTTAGAGCTTTGATTTAACTGGAATACTTGGGGAATGGTGGTTTCTGGGTAATTGAATTTTTTGGTTAATTGGGCAAACCTGCCCAACCTTTGTTTCAACTTTTCTTTTTTTGCAGGGGGAAAGGGCTTGGAATGTATTTGCAATTCAAATCAGAGTGAGTCTTTAAAGAGCCCTCCTATTGTTATAGTACCCCCTCTGAGGCCACTCACAGCTACACTGACAGGTTGTTGCCAGAGGGAGAGAATACCATGTCTCCCCTCAAGGTTCTAGGGATAACTCTGAGAGGTTACAATTTCTAGTACTTTCACTTTTGAGCCCCCATCTGGTGTGTTCCCCAATACCAATCAACCAGTAGAACTATATTACCTTCTAGAAAAGGCTATTTACTGAGTAGGTATAGCAAAAGCAGTAATTAGAAAATATTCCTTCCCAACCCTAGGGGAGCATTCTCCCCTTGTACAAAAGTCACTAAAGTAGAGATCATCTGCTGGAATCGTTTGTATTCATATATAGTTCTCTGCCTCAGCTTCTCCTGTATTATTGATCCTTTTGACTCTGGGGCCAATTAAAAGACTTTTAGTGGCCAAATAGTACCTGCCCAATAGTCACTCATGTCTGGAAGAAGGCTCACCAAGCCTCCACATGTTGAACTGGAGCCAGGCAGGGAATATTTGTGTATGTTCTGTATAACTCACCAGAAAGGGCAAGTCCATGTATGCTCTAAGGACTGAATGAATAAAGTATTTATTAACCACTTACTATATGTGAAGCACTGAATTAAGATCTATAAATGCAAATAGAGAAGTAAGACAGTGGCTATTCTAACAGAACCCACATTCTAATGGGAGAGACAGCACATATGGAAGGGTTCAGTTGCAAGACAGATGGCAAGGTCCCGTGGTTCTTAGAAAACAGATATTAATACCTCTTTTTAAATGCCATTTCCATTGATAAAATAATAGCTGTTCCTGATGTTGAACCATCTGGTAATGCCAAAAGCTTTGGTGGCAAAACTTTCTTTTTGGAGTCTTCAATAACTATGACTATAGCACCTGCATAAGCACTTGCCTGGTTTCATCTCCACAGGGGTGGCTTTCCAGGAAGATGGCTGAGGGCACTGGGCTGGAAGCATTGCTATTCCCAAGGCTTTTGGGTTCAGGGTGTTGGGCTGGCTCCATCAGGATTCGCAAGGCTGTGATGATCAAGGTGGTGGTGCTGGTCTGATTTGCCTGGCACACGATGCCCCCTAGCTGTCCTCCAGGATGCCTCGCCATACCCCGTGAGTGGCAGTTGGTTAGCAGTTGGTGGGGATGGAGGGCCCGTTCTCCAGATGAGTTGCCTCCCTGCATGATGGCTCGAGGGCCCATTTGGAAACTGGACTGGTGATGTAGGGGGTGCTGCTACCCCTAGGGTTCCTGTGCTTATCTGTCTCTTTATGGTAGTCAGCCAACAGTTGTTGCTGATGATGATGAGGAAGATGGGCTTCTTCTCTACAATGGTGGTTATGGGGCTTAGGCTAAAAGCAGATGTTTTGCTTTTCCCAAGGCTTTTGGGCTCAAGGTCCTGTGCTTTCTCCATCAGGGTCTGAGGGAAGGTCAAAGCAGTGGTGGTGGTAGTTTGACTTCCCTGGGACACTTCTTCAGGGTGCCTGGCTGCTCCAGCTAATCTGGTTATTCTCCTTTACACAGTGATTTCTGTCTAGTGAAAAGATGGCTATGGGAGAAAGGAGTGAATTTAAGTTCTACAAGGGAGATCCAGAGAGTCGTAGACTCTTGGTAGTAGGAAAGAAGCCACATCTGTTTGGGAATGACCTTTATAATGCCCTTGATAAGTGGTCCTCCAGCCTTCTGAGGATCTCCATTGATGAAGAGCTCACCAAGTCCCAAGGCAGCCCATTCTGATTTGGGGGAATGTTAAGAAATCCCTTTCTGTATTTTGTTGTTCTTTGCCTCCCTATAACTTCTGCCTCCTGGTTCTTTTCATTTTACTGATGAAGAAACCGAGTATTAAAATGACTTGTTCAGGGTCACACAACCAGTAAGAATCTGGGCAGGATTCAAATCTGGATCTTCCTGACTCCAAATCCAGCACTCTATTCATTATACCGCACTCCTTCTAGAGGACTAGATGACCTCTAAAATTCTTTTCATCTCCATTCCTATGATTCTGTGTCAAAATCATTGCTCATATCTTGGTGTAATAGCCTTGGTGATACATGTATTCTTCAAATACTACATGTTGGCAGAGTCTCTATTTCCACAAGAGAAAATGTCCATGGGAGTTGTATGCATCTTGAGTTTTACGGACGGGGAGATGGAGACCCAGAGGAGTTAGCTGACTTGTCTAAGGTGAGGCAGGTAGTGAGCAGGAGAGCTGGTCTTTGGACCAAGGTCATCTGACACTGAAGTCCAGTGCTCTTTATGGCTATGAGTCTCAGCTTCCTTTTCTGTAGAAAGGAGGCCCCAGAGTTCCCTTCCAGCTCTAAATCTGTAAGCTATGAACCATGAGCAGTATGATAAAATCAGAAGAGTGCACAGTCTCTGTAGTCAGAGGGTCTGGATTAAAAGCCTGTCAGGCCTTTCTAATTCTAAATCTGTGAGTCTGTGAACATTTTTAAAGGTCTACTATGTACCAAGCGCTGAGTCAGGCCTTCAGAATGCAAATACAAAAAAGGAAACATTCCCTGCCCTCAAGGGGGTTACATTCTATCCAGGGAGACTGAATGAGAAAGCATATACTGATTAAATCCCAGATAAAATTCAGACAAAAACAAGGTATTAGCAGTTGGGAGAATCACCCATAAGTCATGTCAACCCTATCCCCTGTGTGGGCTTATGTTGGGAGATGTTCCCTTTCTCCTTGGGTCTTGTGAATGGAACCAACTGCTTTTGGTGCCTTGATATCCCCCTGTACTTCAACTTTTTTTCTGCCACTGAAGTGATGACATCTCTGCTTTCTGTTGTTGCGTGAGGGCTGCTTTGATTCAAGTTAACAAACATTTATTAAGCACCTACTGTGTGTAATAGTTACCACAGAGCCTTATATTCTACAGGGATGGGGGATATAATATGTATGGAGATAAAAGCACGGTGATTTGAGGAGGGATAGGGCACTGACAACTGGCAGATCTAGGAAGGCTTCATGGAGGAGAGGGTACCTGAGCTGGATATTAAGGAGAATAAGGAATCTGGAAGGCAGAGGTGAAGGAATGGGTTCTAGGTATAGGCAATGACCTGTGCCAGGGAATGGAGTTGGAAGATGAAGATGGTCCAGTGAAGTCTGAATACAATGTGCAAGGGGGGAGGCAGGGACAGAGGGTATAACGCAAGATTATGTAAGGCCTTAAATGCCAGGCCGAAGAGTTTGTACTTTATCCTAGAGGTACTAGGGAGCCACTGAGGACTTGTGAGCCAGGGAAGTGACATGGTCCGGCCTATGTCTTAGGAAGGTGGCTCCCCTTCTGTCATGCCTGCAGGGCCTCTGGACCATAGTGACTTAGAAAACTCAAGTTAACATTATCTGTGTTGTATCATATTCATAATTATTTTGTTAAACATTTCCCAGTTACATTTTAATCTGCTTCAAGGCCACTGCCTCCGAGTTTGACAACTCTGCTGAGTGGATAGAGCATTCGACTTGCAATGTGGGGACCTGGTTCCAATCCTGCTTTAGACATTTACTAGCTTCATGACCATAGGGAAATCACTTAATCTCCCAGAGACTCAGTTTCCCTATATATAAGATGGGAGTAATAATCTTAGTACCTACCTAACAGGG